CGATCTTAAGGAGACTATTTACATGGCTCCTCCGCCTGGATATACGTAGGCTGATGCCAACACAGTATGTCGCTTGAAACGGTCACTGTACGGTCTCAAACTGGCTCCTAGAGCTTGGTTTGAGAAATTCCATGGGATGATTGTGCAGGCAGGCTTTACTCAAAGCCAGAATGATCCCTCCTTGTTCCTCCGTAATACTGTGCAGTGTCTTACGGTGTCACTTCTTTATGTGGACGTTATGATTATTTCAGGAGATAAACACGTTGGGATTATGGACCTCACTAAGTATCTCCATCAAGCTTTTAAGGTCAAAGTGCTCGGCGATGTCTCATATTTTCTGGGGCTAGAAATTGATCGGGCTAAGCATGGTATTCTTGTTGGCCAGCAGAAGTATATCCGCGACTTGCTTGCCGAGAATCAGTTTGAAAAATGTAAACCATGCACTGCTCCTATGGAACAGAATCTGAAGCTTAGTCGGACTAGTGTGGATTTGCTAGATGACCAGACCCATTATTGCACTCTTGTGGGTTCACTTCGTTATCTCAGTTCGACGAGACCTGACATTGCATATGTTGTCCAGGTGGTGAGCCAGTTTTTGGACATGGCACGGACTATGCATTTGGATGCAGTACACAAGATCCTGAGACACCTTCAGAATACTCAGAATGTGGGTCATTTCTTTCCTGCGAAAGGGGAGCCAGTCTTAGAAGCATTTGCTGATGCAGATTTTGTAGGATGTGTAGATACTCGCAGATCAACATCCGGGTGGTGCGTCTCAATAGCTCATTCGTCTCATGGCGGTGCAAGAAGCAGGATCGGGTTTCCAAATATTCTATAGAAGCGGAGTACAGATCCATGTCAGAGGTTAGTTTGGAACTTGTATGGTTGTAGTGCCTCCTCGAGGAACTGGGTGTTGTATGCAGCACACATGTGAAGCTAATTGGGGACAACACCAGTGCGATCAGGATTGCTACCAATATTGTTCTCCATGATAAGACGAAACACATTCAAACGCATGTTCATTACATCCGACAACTTGTGACTGAGGGAGTCATTCGGCTTAGTTACTTGTCAACAGAAGATCAGACTGCAGATTTGTTGACAAAGGCGGTGGGTACCAGTCGCCATTGGTATTTGTCTAACAAATTGATGTTACGTAGGCACCATCAATTTGAGGGAGGGTGTTGAAATTATTATATTGTGCTTAGTTTGAGTAGCTTATTGTAATTTCCTTATAACGTAAGTTACCTAGCTAAGCTGGTTAGGGTTACATGTGTTGTGTAACCTAGCAGTATATATATCTATGTATTCTGTAAAACTAAGTTGAAAAAGATTGACTCTGGAGAGTGCTACCTCTCCCATGGACTAGTCCTGATTCTCAGGGAAACCAGGTAAATCCGGTGTTCGTGTTATTGTTTCTTGACTTGTTATCAGAATCATGGATCCAAATAACATTTAAATATTGGATGAATGTTAATATTATGAAAATTTTAGGTTTTAAAATGCCATAATGAAATTCCCCCCACCCCCCCCCCCCTCCGGTAATTAGCAGTTATCATTAAGCACACCCTCTGCCAATAGCAAAGAGTCTCGAAAATATAGAGGCATAAATCCCAAATCCTTCTTACATCATACACAACTCAACACAGAAGGAAAAAGAAACAACTGCCTAAAGCAGATGACAACACACAGGAACCTTCATAGCCTCTTCATGGAACGCAGCATTCCCACATCCATACAGACCCACCTCCTGTCGAAGCGCTTCAGCAAGAGTATTTGGGGAACAGGGACCCTCACCAAAACAACAGCGACACCTTTCCTTCCAAATGAAGCAGAGATACTAGCACCATAGTGAGCATTCTACCGGGTTAGCTCCATCTCCCTGTAGAGCTTTCACAATCATACTATCCAACATATCATTCCAATTCAAGGGGAGTGCACCTGTCCTCTTAAGAAGAGCAGCATCAAAGTCAACAGTATAAGAACATTCACAGAATAGGTGATGTCGAGATTCAACAGTAGCTTGACACAGAGGACAAGTATCATCAGTTATCAATCCCCAACTCCTAAGCTTATCACGAGTTGCAATCCTATCAAGGATGATCAACCATATGATGAAGCGATTGCGTGGTAATGTAAAGACACCTCAGGCTTTTTAAGACGAATTGTATCCCAGATAAACGAAACAGAGAACTTGTTCATCTTTCTTCCCATCCAAGACACATGCCCATCTATCTCAAGACTCATTCTAAATTGGAGCCAAGGACGGATCTTGAGTAGCTGCTTCTAGATCCATGATCCAGAAGATGTGAGCCTGACATCCCAAATACAATTACCTCGTAGCTTATATCGAGTACACCAGGTCACCCAAAAACTCCCCCTTGAACCAATAAAAGCCAGATCAGTCTAGCAAGACACGCAACATTCCATGAACTCAGATCTTTTAAGCCAAGCCCCCCTTCCTTCTTTGGTAAGGCAATTGAATCCCAGGAGACCTTGGCCCTACCGACCCCGTCCCCATGAGCAGATTCTTTGAATAGATTTTAAAACTTTTTTGGGGAGGATGAAAATTGTCATCCAGTAGTGCACCAGAGCATAAAGAACAGACTCAACTAACTAGAGTTTACCAGCATAAGAAAGTTTCTGAGCTCTCCAGCCCCTGATCCTACTTGTTAACTTATCTACCAAAACAGAACATTCAGCACTAGACAATTTACCCGAGATCAATGGCAACCCCAAATAACGAACTGGAAGCTGACCTTCTCTAAATCCAAAAACTGGCATAGCAATGGACTTAAATTGATGAGCAAATCCCCCAAAAAATACCTCGCACTTATTAGGGTTTCATTGTAGACCAGAAAGCTTATAGAATTTGTCCAAGATTTTCCTGATCCCACTCAAAGCTAGACCTGAACCCTCTGAGAAAATCAAGCGGTCATCAGCAAAGCTGAGATGAGTGAGACCTAGCTGTCTACACCGAGAGTGATAAGGCATGTCCCCTTTAGTAGCTGCTCTGTTCAACAAACCTGTCAAGGGCTTCATTGCAATCATAAAGAGGTAGGGGGAGAGAGGATCTCCCTGCCTGACCCCTTTAACAGCTCCAAAGAAACCAAACAGGCTACCATTGACAGTGATGCTAAAATAAGCTGAGCTTAAACATAGTGAAATCCATTTAATGATAGACTCTGGGAATCCCATCAACTTCATTACACTAAGAAAATAACCCCAATGGACGGAATCAAATGCTTTCTTAAGATCCACCTTGATGACAGCCCTAGAAGATAGATGTCTCCTATTATAATTGTGGACAATTTCCTGAGCCATTAGGATATTCTCTAAGATATTGCGCCCCTGAATAAAGGCCGATTGATTTCGACTAATGACTGAAGGAAGACTTTCTTTATCCTATTTGCTAACACTTTAGATATAATATTGTATATAATATTTATGAAAGCAATAGGTCTAAAAGTATTAAGTCTATCTGCATTTGGTATTTTCGGGACAAGGGTTAATGAAGAAGAATTCATACCTCTTGTCAGAAGCCCCTCTTGAAAGGAAGCATGGACACCTTTAACTATATCAGGGCCAATAATTCCCCAACATTTCGGATAGAACTCTGTTGTCCACCCATATGGGCCTGGAGATTTTGCTGGATTCATGTCAAATAAAGCTTGCCTTATCTCTTCCCTAGATACCAACCCACAAAGCATAATCCGATCAGCATCTGTCAACTTCTCACTCAAGCAGCCTTCAATGAGTTCACAATCTACAACCACATCTTTATTTATAGTTCCAAATAGATCCTTGTACAAAAGGATCGCTTCATCAGCAATATCCTTAGTGTCTGTCAACTCCTTCTCATTATGAGATATTATCTTCCTTATCTTCTTTCTGGCATTACGTATGCAAGCAGACTTATGGAAAAAACCAGAGTTCGAGTCTCCTAGGGCAAGCCAAGTAATACAAGATTTCTGCCTAAAGAAAGCCTCTTATGCTTTTTGCAATTGTATATAAGCACCAGTGAGAAGGCAAAATTTCCTCAAAAACCCTTTCAGATGGATCCTGGAAATCTTGGACCTGCTTAGTTGTAAGCTCTAGCTTTTTCTCCTGGACTCTAGCAGAAATATCTGAGAACTCGGATTTATTCAGTTTCCTAAGTTCTGCCTTCAGAAGATATAACTTCTGCTTAACTCCAAACAACCCCGTTTCCCTCACCTCTTGCCCCCAACAAGATTCAAATAATGAAGAGAAAGATTCATGTGAATACCACATATCAAAAAAGCGGAATGGTTTCGGATAAGACTTTTCAGGGACACAAGGAATAATCAAAATCCCACAATGATCAGAGAAATCAGGTGCCATAAATTCAACAACACATTCATAGAACTTCTCTAACCAATCCACATTAACCATGAACCTATCAAGCTTGCGAGCAATGGGATTACCTTGCTGCTGGTTAGACCAGGAAAATAGAGGCCCAGAGGCTTTATGGTCAACTAGCTCCATCTGCTCCACCCATTCTCTAAAAGCAATCATACTACCTGAGATAGAGACATCATTTGAGGCCTCTATAGGGTCCAGAATAGCATTGAAATTACCTCCTACAACCCAAGGAGATCCCTGCACCCTCCAATGACTCATCTGTTTGTATGTGACAACACAATCTTTGTCCTCATTGGAACCATACACCACTGTGAAGAAAAATTGTTCACCCTGCTTCAGTGAAACCACCATATGCATAAAATTTTCCTCCTCGGCTAGCAATCGTAATCTAACATCATCATTCCACGCAATCCAAATTCTCCCAAGCTTATGTTTAGAGTAATTATCCACAAACTGGTGACCAGTAAACTTTCCCCTTAGTTCCTCAATTTTATTTTTATTTTGCACTCTTATTTCAAGTAAAGCAAAGATAGAAGCCCTATGTACCCTAAGGTAATGAAGCACTGCATTGTACTTCAAGGGGCCATTGAAGCCCCTTGTATTCCATATGAGCAGTGTCATTTGCGGGAAAGAACCACCTTAGTGGTTCCCACTTTACTTCTAAGCCCATCTCTTCCCCCTTTCTTTGGAGGAGCCTGCAAGATAATGTCCCGTTGGCCACATAACAGATCAAAAGCATTAGAATTCAAAATAGGAGTAGGTACCTTCAAAGCAGATTTTGGCTTTGCTCCATTAATCACATTATTAAACTCTTCCTGGGAAGGTAAGGCACTCGGGGTAACAGGAGGAGTGGTATCCTCCATGACCTTCTTACCTTTAATAGCAACAGCTTCCTCCTCAGTAACCTGAATAACCTCCTTCACAGTAGCACCCTCAACCTCAGGTTGCCCCAACACAGGAACAACCTCCTTCTCATTAGTACCCACAACCTCAGGCTGCCCCAACACAAGAACCTTGGATCGCTTGCGCCGCCAAACTCTTTTATTAGGAGTCCCAGGAGGCGCCAAAGAGTAATCATGCCCAAAAATCCCACAAGTACCACAACACCGAGGCAATCCACAATACTCAATACCAACGATAAACTCAGACATATCATCTGGAGCAAGACTTATTTTTTTAATCCTAGTTCTAGTAGCACTTACTTCCACACAAATACGAACAATACCAACCCTCTCTCGTTGAGCAGTAGAATGATCCATACAAAGAGGCTTACCAATAGATAACTCGCAATCCGACCTAATCCTTCTCTCATCGCCAGTTCAGCAGGCAACCCAGATAACTTGACCCAAACCGGAACAACTGAATTGTCAATCTCCAACGCACGAATCCCAGGGACCCAGCGTCGAAGACAAATGATCTTCTCCCGATAGTGCCACGGCCCCCCTTTAAACACCCATCGACAGGTCACCTCCGATGGAAATTGAAAGAGAACGAGCTTATATTTTAAGAGAGAAACCTTCACCTCACCATCTCGACTCCAGATCCAGTTAGCCCAGAATCGCAAAGTAGAGAGGGAAGGCGAAGCAACCAGGAATTGACCTACAAGGTTGTGTTCCTACTTCTTCGTACCCTCCTCGATCACCGATTTGGGGATCCAAAGTGACCCATTAACAAATTCCGGCTCATAGAAATCCAACCAAACCTCCTCCGAGACATGAAAGAGAGAAGCCCAGGACCTACCGCCACCAACGGTGCCAGGCGTGCCTCCGTCGGCGACGGCGGCCATCGCGACGAACAAAGAAGTTTTCAGAGAGTTTCGGAGAAGGAGAGAGAAAGGAGAGAAAAGGTAATATTTGATATGTCCATAATGAAAATTTCTAGGCATCAATCTAGTGATATTTTTCGCTGAAAAATGAAATTTTGTGTATCAAATATAAATATATACAATTATATATTAAAGTGTAATTTTTAAATATTCATGAATATACCATTCAATTGGATTTGAATCAAATGAATTGAATTATTTGAATATTATAGTGAATGAATTGGATAAAAAATTCACCCTATTAATTCTGATTTCAAACTCTATAAAGAGTAATCTTGATCTGCTTCGACGCATTTGTTGAGGTACTTATGAAATATTGAGTACTGTAATTTTTGTATACAAATTAAGTACTATATTTAGAAACATAATTTTTTTAAATATTATTCTGAAGTCTAGAAAAAAGTAAAGGACAGAATTACCGGGACTGGGTGAACTAGAATTTGATCTAGCGGTTCAACCGCTTGGTTCTGGTATTCAATCTAAAAGATTTTATTTTAATATGCATGTCAATGTGATTTCTCATAAGGTCATCTATTCATATAATAAAATGACTTCCCATAAAATCATCTCAAAACACGTCGATTCTTGTTTATGAAACATATATTTTTTTCGTGCTTTGTTCATGGATTAGGCTAAGCTGTTACAATCGCTACCATTAAAAAAAATTGCCGGGACTGGAAACCGGTAAACCGTTGTAAGGTAGAAAGATGGTTTTCTGCTTTCTGGGGTTGCGCCGTTGGTTAAGCGAGAAATGATGGGTGATGAGCTGACACGTGTACGGGGTATGATAAGAAAAAGGGAACAAAGCTAGCTGGCTGTCACGCCCTTCCAAATGAATAAGGGCAAAACCCTTTTGCCTTTATGTCAAATCGGCCAATTCCCATTATTTTTACTATTAATTTTTATTTTGAAATTAAAAGAGAAACAAAATCTTGTGATTTGTTATGCTTCCCATGCATGCATGCATTACTTAAAAATACTTCTTAAGAGTCAGGTCTATTTGTTTCTTTTATAATTCGGATTCAACAAAAACTATTATATATACTATTACAATGGTGGACATTTGAAAACAATATTGTTTCTTCTTGCTTCTCGTACATTATAATGGTGGATATTTGAAAACAATATTAAAAATTCGGATTCAACAAAAAACTATTATATATACAAACACCAACTTCTCATAATAACTCTAGTATCTAGTAGGAAAAATATCTAACTCCTATGATTCTAACAAATACGAGTATGCAACAAACTAGATATATAATGTCACTCATAATTTACTCCGTCGATCGATCACACTGCAGATAGTCTAAGAGACAGCTATGTAGCCCACCAATTCAACCTTGTTGTCTCCATCAAGAAATTTTGAGGGGTCGGTCGAATTCCACCAAGCCACCAACTAGAGCAAGATATATGAAATTGTGTCTGCTGGACTATTTTTTTCCCATCTCATTCATTCATTCATTCTACTGTGAGTTACAAGAAAAGAACAACGACCTAACTATAGCTGATGATGCTTTGATTAGCCCATTTTGGACTGGATCTCACATCTTCACAATCACCCACGTGAAATAATTCAGCCTCCAGGTGAATTATACAAAACAATAGAAGAGAAACAGAAAAAAGAGACGACGAGATGCTGATGAAGATGAAAAATTCTGATTAGATGGTGTTTATATTTTGATCCCTCGCTCTTTTGTGGTTTTCCTGTTCAATATATGGTGATTGATTGTGCTCTTAGACTACAAATTATGGTGACTTGTCTACCCCCAATATCGTTTTCATTTGCTTTTGTGTGCTTATACTATGAAATTCATTAAGGATGCACTCCGTCTCTTCGATGACATCCGGTAAAATCATACGCGATTAGCATTAACGAGAGCAAAATGCTAAAACGTTGCTCTCTCAAAGATACCATATGTTAAAACGTTGCTCGAGCAAAACTCATCTCGACAAACTGTTTCGTTTCATTGGCCAAACTCGCGTGTTCAATGCGCACTGTTTTCAAGTAAGCACAAACACACAGTCAGCAAAACCGTCAAATATCCGCCGCCAAATGTCGGCGCCGTTGATTTGATAGATTAAAATTGAAATCAGGACGACCGTCAAATATCCACTGCCGGCGTCGGCGATGTTGATTTGATCGATACACCTTTGACATCTAATCAAACAACCGTTATTCGGTTCACAACCTCTCCAAACTACGTTCGAACGAGGGTGTTCGGCGAATAACCAGAAAATCGAACCAGGAGTTCTAAGTTACGTTACCTCTACTCCTATGGAGGTTCCTCTGGAGAGCTCCGCGACTACGACTGCAAGCTACGATCTACGACTCTGCAAAGGAGGTCTTTGACAGAGCAGTTCTACGAACTAGAGAGAAAAAGATAAATTTTGCGACGGTGCAGTTGTGATTTGATTTTGCCGTCACGAGCTTCTCTCTCTTCCCAATCTTTATACTTCACGCTTCTCCCTGTCGTAGTAACTGCCTTCGCGCCTTTGTCTCCCACGTCTTCATTCCTGTCAACCGTGCAGGTAACTTCCTCCTTGCTGCGTGATAATAACGTGCCCTCGAAACCGCTTTTGCTTTGTAGAAACTTGGCGAAACGACCTACAACCTTGTCCATGTAGCGATGTCGTTTCACCAATACCACGATATCGCCTTTCACCAACCGATGTCGTTTTATAATCCAACTCAACTGCCCCGACCCGGTTTAACCAACGACATTTTTAGTCCATCAAACAACGTCGTTCTCTACTCTTGCGGCGTCGTTGGGCTTGGCGGGTTGCCTTTGGTCGAACTCTTACCACTACCGCGATGTCGTTTTACTTTTCCGCGATATCGCTTTTCATTAAACGACACCGTCTAAAATAATCATAAAATACTAATTAGTTAAACCAGCCCTCATTGTTAACTCGCCGTCAAACTTTCACCCCTCGGCGTCGTTCTTAGTTAAACAACATTGTTTCCTTATCCCGCGATGTTGTTGAACTTTTGAGCTTCGCGACACTGTTTTATTTTTAACACTGTCGTTTTAACTGTTGCGGCATCGTTTGGCTTACTCGCGGCTCTGCTTTATAATCCGCGGTGTCGTTTCTTTCCTCTTGCGACATCGTTTTCAACTAAACGACACCGTCCCAAACAGTCATTAAAATATTAATTGATCAATCCGGCCATCACTAGTCAAATTCGCGTGTTGACCAACGACATCATTAGCGCCCAAAACGGCTCCCTTCGCGACATTGTTTTTTATTTAAACACTGTCGTTTGCTAATCCGCGGTACTGTTGGGCCTACTCGCGGTATTGTTTTGAATTTAAACAACACCGCCAATATAGCCGAAAATATTCCATGGAAACCGCCGCCAATCGGCCCTCGCATTGGACTAGGCGAATTTTGATTTAATTAATCGGTATCGCTTACCAGGCTCTCGCGGCATCGTTTTTAAATCCGCGGTACCGTTTTAACTCTCCGCGATACCGCTTGTCTCCATGCGGTACCGATTTTCCCCTTCCGACAAGGAATAAAGATAATAATTAATAATAATAATCAAAACTCCTTTCCCAACAACAATACCACACGCACGGCCCACATCTTGCTTCCCGGTAAACGGTGTCGTTTTCAGTGCCGCGGTTCCGCTGAACCTCATTGCGGCACCGTTTTAACTTCCGCGGTGCCGCTTGTCTCCATGCGGTACCGCTTCTCCCCGTCCCACAAGGAATAATAATAATAATAATAATAATAATAATAATAATAATAATAATAATAACTCCGTTTCCAACACCAATACTACGCGCGCGGCCCCATCCAGTTTTCTGGTAAACAGTGTCGTTTCCACTGTCGCGGTACCTGTGAGCTTCCTTGCGGTACCGTTTTTCTGTTTCGCGGTACCGTTTTAACTCTCCACGACGCCGCTCAACTCCAAACGACACTGTTTTTTACCCGCGGTATCGAATTAAATGCCAAGACTAATTAATGCGGCATTTAATTTAGGCCAAATTTATTTTAGGTGTCAACAAATGCCCCCACAATTTGGTTTATAAGAATTATGAACCAAATTGTTGACAAAATCCACAACACCTAAAATAATTTTAATTTGAACCTCCATTCCACCAAAAATTGGCGGAAATCTTTTGGCCAATTTTTCCTCTTTAGCAGGCCTGCATAGCCGCCTCGGCCACACATGTTTTTTACTTTTTTTTTTTTTTTTTTTATATTAGAGCTGCTTGGCTGCACACTACTCCTTTTGTCGACAGAGCTGTTAGACTCCAACAACAGCCGTGACATTGCTTGGCCACAGCGCTGAGAGACATTTTTATTTTATTTTTT